GTAGTTGGTGGCAGTATGATCGAAACGCAGTTTTGCTACGCTCCATCTCTATCTACTATACAATCTAGTGGGTTTCTGCCAGACCAGCGTATGTATAAACAAATGTCAATCAACGGTACACGGAACGGCCGAATCGCTTCCGTTTACTGACATCATCATCAGCGGATGCATGTGGTTGGGCGTGTACTTCAGCTGAGATATACGCCGAAGCGGTTGGATCACTATCAAAATGAATAGCATAAAACTTTTTTTTAATGTCGCAATCAATTGCCGCTCACCTGCCTCGCGCACAATCACCAGCCAAGCACTTTATAAACAGCTGACTCGAAAACGACACTGCCTTGTCAAGTTTAATGTGAGCCGGGGCCCAGCAGCCTAAACCGACACTTTGTGACGTCTGTGACATGACCACTGCACTTATCCATAGCAGCAGAATTCTGCAACTGTTTACTGACTCTGATTTAATTAGAAACAGGCAACCTTTTTTCTCTCGCTCATATCACGAATTCTGACTGTTTACACATTATCTGCCTCCCAACTGATCAGTTCATCTTATGAGAGGTCTAACTGACACAAATACAAAACGTACCGGAATGTCTCATCCACGGGAAGCCTGAATTCATACAGAGGCCTGGAAAACTCGAGATTGGAGAGCTGGCGTTCTGATGAGGATGGCTCTTCTGCGAAAGGTAGGCTGTTGTGGGTGATAGGTTGGCAGCCCTACAGGTGTTCGGATGTCCGGAGGCTACCGAAAAGGCTGTTTTGGTGGAGGTTGCATCCATTTCATTCTGGCATACAGAGAACGGCATTCCTAATGGGGGACTGGCATTGGTATAGTTGTGTCGGCCAGTCTGTTCTCCTGGCTGGAAAACGGTATCCATTTCGAGATCCGTCACCGGTAGGGTAGGCGGCCAAAGAAGAGGGGCCTGTTTGGGATCCACGGTGGTAGCAACGGAAGCGGCCATTTTCATTGACTCCAAAACTGTCTCCCTCTGCCAGTGTTGACGCAGGGAAGTGAAGAACTGGAGTGCATCAATATCAAGGAGATTTTTCGTTGGAGCTGGGGCACCACCACGGAAGAGTTGATTGTATTCGAATTCGGAATAATTCGCTGCAGTCTTTTTGACCGTGTCATTTTGTGTTGGTGTCGTCGGTTGACTCTGTGGCTCCTCGTTACCTTTAGCTTCCGCCTTCAGGTAGCTCGACGGAAGCGGATGCTCGGTAGGGGGTGAAGTTGAAGGGGACGACTGGGACCTGTAGTCCATTTTGCTCTTTTCAAGAGCTTCCTCCTCCTCGTCTCCATCGCTCCCAGGGGAAGAATCTCCGAGAATGTCGCGAATCGCATGCGAGGTCTTCTTTGGACTCCCTCCAGACTTTTTGGTTGCACTGGAGGCGTCTGCAGCCAGGCCATTCTTAGTTCCAGGCGGAGGCATACCACCTGGAAGGAGTGATGACACTGGGTAGTCGGAAGTTGTCTGTGGAGGCGGGGGAACGGCAAACGAACCAGTGTTCAACAATCCACCGGAACTTAGAGCAGCTAGAATATTGGAGAATAGTACTCGACTGAAGTCGGAGTTATAGGGAAGAAGTCCTGGCACTTTTGGAAAATCGTGTAACGATGCCCCTCTGAGGACGCTGGGAAGCGGATATGTGCCTTCATAGGTGGGACTTTGTGGGCAGGCGGTGTTGTTTGTAGGCGGTAGGTTTGAATACCTCTTCGGGGAGCTTTGAGAAGAAGGCGGCGGAGGTAAGTCGCCTTCAAGGCGGTTCTTCTTCTGATTGGAAGCAGAACTCAGGGGACTTGAGTCAGGGCTCGAAGTGCTCAGCCGTTTGCCAGAGGAGAATACTGCAGAGGCCTCAAAAGCCGAATTAGGCGAAAACCGTTGAACCGATTCAGTTTTAGACGCCTGAGTAAGCAGGGGATTCGCACCTAGCAACACCGATGAACTCTCGATTGTCTCCATGTGGGACTCGGGGGGCGTAGGTTACTCAAAGGGTGAAAGCAGAGTTTAGTTGGTTGATGG